GAGGGGGGGGGGGGGTACTACGATAATAGGAAATGGTTCAGGACACGGGCGTGGAAATTCAAATTTACGAGTACACAGATCGGAGAGACCCCTCCCAAATAAGAACATACTAACATGCCAGATCACGCCTCACCTCTTCCCTTCTCTCAATGGTTGCCGTGCAACCTCTCTCTCTCTCTCTCTCTCTCTCTCTCTTTTTCTGTGTGTGTGTGTGTGTGTGTGTCTGAGAGTGGGTGCACGCGCCAATGTGTGCACACCAAAACGCGCGCAATCCGCTTGCTGCCGGTCAATTTCATACCTGCATCCCTACTTCTCCATGCACGCAAGTAGATAGAAATACAGAGAGAGAGAGAGAGAGAGAGAGAGGGACCGACAAACACCGGGGCAGAGGCAGAAAGGCAGAGACCCACAGCTGCCACAGACACTCGTAAGAGAGGACAGGGAAGAAGAAAAGAGAAAGAGAAGCAGCACCTGTGCTCTTGTCATTCGGATCCTCTTTAATGAAGAAGAACAAGCTTTCGCTCAATTCAATTTCCTAATGTCAGATTACCCAATTAACTCCCATTCATTCAATCTTTAATGTATCCTGATCCAGCGAACTTGGCCCACTTCCCGGCATGAAGACGCCGCATGACAGCCTTCGGGTTCGGCTGAGACGATCTGCCATGACGACAGTCAACTACCGTCGTCCCCCGAACACAACGCACCCTCATTCTGACTGTATGTGTCCGGAAACATACCTTGTATACTTTCCTTTCCAGGGTGCGTTATGTTCGGGGGAAGACGGTAGTTATCCTTCGTTCTGTCAATGGCTTCAAAGCGTCGCATATCGTCGTCCAAAGTCTCCAGATAGTCATCGGATCGGGATCCCTACTACGACTCCTTCGGGGCAGCACCCAATCATGCGCGCCACCCTTTCAAGCACACGATCAGAGCTCATTGCCAAGCCGCGTTCCCCGAAGCCTGGCATGGCTGCACCGAGACATCTCTGGCCCCATCGAAGGCGAAGGCGATCAGTCTGATTTTCCCCACAATAACACCGCAGCAGTAATTCGTTGAAGAAGAGACGGTTGGCTCAGTGAGAGCTGTCATTCTCCAACATAACACAGCAGTAATTCGTCAGGGTCCAATCGAAGGCGATCTGGAAACGTCCATACTATACAAGAGGAAACGACGCGAACAAAGGAAACGAAAAGCGAGCGAAGGAAAGGCAGCAACAGAGAGTCAGACAAAGGGGCGTACACGCATTCGTGTACGAAAGAACGTAAGAAGAGAGACACACACAGAGAGAGAGAGAGAGTACAGGGGAAAGTCAAAAGCGAGCAGACGTGAGAGAGAAAGAGTAGTAGTCAAGAGGGAAAGTTAAGAAGCAGAACGAGAAAAACACGAAAGGGAGGAGGCTGGAAAGAGGCCCGAGGGAGAGGGCCAGGGAGTCCACTCTTCGTTTCCTGCGCTTCCCATGAGGAAGGCTTCAAATTCTCAACTCCCCCCCCCAACCCTCTCTCTCTCTCTCTCTCTCTCTCTCTCTCACACACACACACACACACAGACACACAGAGAGTTAGGAACAAGGATACAGTTCTGTGATCGCTGTACCTTCCACTCATCCACCACGAATCCGACGAATATCAGAAGAGTGACAGTAGTGATGGTTTTTCGAAAACAAAAAAAACAAAAACACACCAAACGGAACGCAACGGAATCTCAGCAACCAGACACCCTCATTTTACTGTCTTGCGAATTTGATGATGCCTATGCGACCTAGACGAACAATAAATAAGCAGATTAATTATCTCTCCGCCTTTCCTCCACCTACCCACCTCGTTGTCACTATGATACACGCGTACGTTCGTTCGCTCGTGTGCACCGAGCGACCGTCCTACACCACACTCTAGCGCCGTCTTATAACACCGAATTAGGTAAAACTCGCATCGAGAATGGACACTTGAGGTACGGCCATTTCACAACCTAGCCTACGAGCTAAGGACATGAATTTGACTCGCATATCACGAGAGGTTCATCCTAACCTAAACTAAACAACAGGACGACGCCCTGTTGCAGCGCGGCATGGGCCTTCTCTCTCTCTACCCATTCGAGCTCGCCCACCCACATAAGGAGAGGGGAGGGGGGGGAACAACACCCCCCGCCCCTCGGCCGCCTGGTGCCGTTCATCTACTTTCTTTTCTTCCCGTCGGTCGGAGAGAAAGCGGTACACACCAAAACCACCAGTTCAATTTGCCCTGTACTAATCTCACACACTGAACGCCAGACAAGGACGGCAGGACGCCTTATCTTCCTCCTCCATGTCGAGGAAAATGGACACTCGAAGGATGAGCATAGCTTTTACTAGAGAGCTTCCTCCTCACCATCGACAGAAAACTACTGGCCGAACAGAGAGAGCAGCGGCGCTCAAGCGTGACTAATCGAAATCAAGCGAAGTGAAGTCCAACTCCCTCCCTGATCCCTTCCTCTTCCAACTGTGTCCTTGTTCTCTTTGGTTGTCTAATAATGGTAATACATACCTCTCCGCCTTCCTTTCCCAAACCAGACGCACTACTCCATCGGGAGAACACCTCACTGCTTTCGCCTGCAACCTCTCAGCACAAGTACACGTAACTCAGGCACACGGTATGACCATTTATGTACAGGCTCCCTCCCTCTTTATCCCCTTCCCTCCTCCCCTGCAAACCCTCTCCCCCCCCCTTCCCTCTCTCTCAAACTCGCCATATCCGACGCAACACATTTTTTCGCCTGTCTCCCATCTACAATTCTCACAACAGACCTACATCCCCTGCCAGTCGCGCCATTTCCCCCTCTTCTTCCCCAGCGTCGGCCCATCCTCTCTCTCTCTCTCTCTCTCTCTCTCTCTCTCTCTCTCTCTCTCTCTCTCGCTTGCTCGCTTTCTTTGTGTGTGAAACACACACATACACACACCTCGCACTAGCATTCAAGTACGTTCTCCTCAAGAATATACAATGCCGTAAGCGGAGAGGATCTCTCTCTCTCTCTCTCTCTCTCTCTCTCTCTCTCTCTCTCTCTCTCTCTCTCTCTCTCTCTCTCTCTCTCGTTTTCTTTGTGTGTGTGAAACACACACACACACACACACACACACACACACACACACACACACCCCTAGCAATAGCTTAGGTAGGTTCTCCTCTTCAAGAATATACAGTGCCGTTAGCGGAGAGGAATACCTCTCTGGAGGACGGCAATCCTCGTCGCAAATCTCCATACAAGACGCGCGATCCCACCCCTCGGCAATTCTGTATCCGAAGCCAGCGGAATGAGCGACATCGGAAAGCGAGTGCCTTGAGCGATGCACTCGTTACCTGTTGGCAGTCTACGAAATCTGCCCTCTCTAGCAACGGCCAAGCCGCTGCAAGCGCCACCACCGTCTCGTCGGTAAGCGAAGGCAGTGCGTGAAAGGCAACTGCTTTCACGTTAGGGCATCTCCTCGCGAAGGAGCATAGCTGGCCGTTCAGATCTACAAACCCGCCTCCGACGAGCGGCCCGCGGAGAAGCACCTCCTCCAGTACCGATCCCAACTGAGCCACGGCCCGAAACAACGTGTACGAGTAAAACCCGGTGTTCGGCCCCGCGCTGCGATTATATCGGGCGTTGACGTCATCATCGCGCAACCCTTCCGCCGCCGTGCACCGCACCACCGACGCCAACCCCTCCTCCCGCCTGTCCAACGCCCCTCCCTGCTGACACGCCCCGCTCGTATTCGCCGGCGGAGAATGAGAACGACAATTCCGACCTGCCAGATTCGTGGCCGTCGACGCGGCCATCTGCACGACCCTCCTCCTGCTGCTGCTGCTGCTGCTACTTGCACAACAACAAGGACACGAAGTAGTCGTACTAGTTCCAGACGGAGCGGCATTCTCCATCCCCCCGACGACTACCACATGCTGCTGGTGGAAATTAGCCCCAGGTTGCTGCTTTGGCGGCGGCGACGCCTCTAGATCCGTCACTCCAAATCCCAGCGAGCGGATGCGTGAGCAATTACGGAAAACCAATTCGGTCCCTATCCTCGCCCCCGAGTTGCGCAGCGTTCGGCAATGGTCACGTGGCACGTAATGCAGAGACGTGAGCCGTCTGAGATTCTGCGCGATTCCTACGAGGCAGTCGTCCGTCATTGAGGTCAAGACCATTCTCAACGTCTCCAGGTCCTTGCAGCACTCGCAGATCGCTCTCATCGATGCATCGCCGATTTCGCACCACGAGCCATCGATGGCCTTCAGCGCCCGACACGTGTCGACGAACGGCACGAGCCCGACGTCGGAAACTCCCGTCAGCCGTAGATCAACGGCCGCCAATCGCCGGCCGCAATCGGCGGCAGCCAACGACTTCAAGTGGTCGTCGCTAAACCACCGGTTCTCGGCGACGATCAGCTCGGTGAGGTTGGGCAAGCGAGCGACAGAGGAGCTCCAGACACGTGTCAGGTCCTGCGAACAAGACAGATTGACGCGGCGCAAGAGAGAGCAGCCCTGCGAGAGCGCTTCGACTCCTCTCTCCCCTACAGAACAGCGCGCGAAGCTGATCTTCTCCAGCAGCGGGCAGTTCTCTGCAAGACACGTGGCAACGAGATCCGCGTCTGCACTCTCTATGCAGTGATCGACCGAAAGCGACCTCAGGCGCTTGCATCCGCGAGCCACGGCAACGAGGCCAGATCGTGTGACACCGCGACAGCCGCTCACGTCCAACTCTTCAAGATCCCGACAGTTGTCGGCAATTGCCACGAGAGACGCGTTCGTGATGACAGATGCCATTCCCGCGCACTCATAATACAACGGGTTCAGCGTCAAGTGCCTAAGGTTTCGACACCTCTTCACCACCTCTCCCAGTGCACAGTCGATCGATCCCTTGTGCTGATTCCGTATCTCTAAATGGATAAGGTTATCGCATCTGCTCGACAGCGCTTCGATCGAAGAGACGCTGCAGTGGCTCACGCGTAGGACGGAGAGATTGCCATCGCCGAGCTCCAGCACGTGCTTCACAAGCTCATCCTGTGGGTGACTGCATTCTCCCGATGACGGCAACAAGAATTCCTCCGACGTCGCATCGCTCACGATGGACAGAACGCGGCCCTCGCACCAAGAGGCGGCATCGACCTCGCGGAAGCAATCGGGCAGCCGTGCCAGAGAGCGCCACGAACGGGACACCAGAGGAAGGACACGTAAGCGATCCTCGATCGGCAGCAAAGAGAAGATCTTGGTAATCACCTCGACAGGCAGATCGGCTACGATGGCGTCTCTCATCGGCTCCATAGCCAGCCAGCCAGCCAGCCAGCCAATCAGGGAACACAAAGACGATCAATAAACGTATAGACAATACGATTAGCTGAGTCGGCGGCGCCAAGGACAGGCGGGGGGCTCACCGTTGTCTGGGTTAATCTTCGTCGGGGGCGATTCTATCATATATATTTCCTATCCAAAAGAATCCTCTCCTCCTTCAATCGAACAGAAAACCCACGAGTGGGCATGCGGTCTTCTTAATTGCTTTACTCTCTTTACAAGTAGAGCAAAGAAAAGACGCCCTTCCACGCAGAAGGGACCGTACACGCGTTCTTCTTCCACGCATAAGACCGTAGTACCATTGGATTTCCAAGAGTCAATAAATAAACAAATAAATAAATAAATAACCAGGTAACCTGCACCTATCAGCCTTCAACCAAAACTTTACCCATGTTGAAAGCTCTTCCCTCCACGAGCGCCATATAACCTAGAGAGAGGCTATAAGGTGGCCACGCCTTTCACAGCCGCCACGACAATCGCACATCATCATCGTCCGATGATACATTGGCCGATCGATCTCAACAAATCAGTCAAGAATCTAGCAAACGATCGCGTACCTACGTAGAATCTCGTCCCTCAAGAAATCACATACACCTTTGAGCACAGTAATACCCTCCTCTCCTCTCCTTCTCCTCTCCTCTCCTTCTCCTCTCCTCTCGTTCTCCTCTCTCCTCTCGTTCTCCTGTCCTCTCCTCTTATACACCCAAAGCACTCATTTGACATCCCTCTTCTCCTCCAACACATCACACCCGCATCCTCTTTACGGATGCTCGATGCACAGCACGCAAACCGCTGATAGAATAAACACCACTGTACCCCTCCTCTCCTCTCCTCCGTTCTCCCCTCTTCTCCTCTTATACACCCAAAGCACTCATTTGACATCCCTGTTGTCCTCCTACGCATCACACCCGCATACTCTTTACGGATGCGCGATGCACAGCACGCAAACCGCTGATAGAATAAACACCACTCCGCCAACAACTCACTTTTGGGCTCCTCTGCTCTATTCGATGTGCAAGAAACTCACACCTACCGAATCACCATCTCCATGCCGGCGTCGACATCACCATCTTCATCCTCCTCCACATCAGCAGCAACCTCAACAAGTGTTTGTTCTCCCCAAATCTAGCAGCTTAACGATCGATGCCGCTCTTTTCCATCTCCTGCCACCATGTTGCAGATGAGCAATCACAACAACATTCGCATAATCCTGGCAAAACACAAACAAACGTAAAAACAAAATGAAAAAACACATTGGAGACGGCCAACACCAGATGGGGCACGACGGATAGACGAAGCCGCGGTCTGTTCACGTTCACCCGCACGACCAGATTGCGACTGCCTTACAACGGATGGAAGCGAAAGAAGGAGAGAGGGAGCGGGGGAGACTCGGGGGTGTGGGGGGGGGGGGGGGGAGGAGGAGAGGAAGAGCACTAATTACAGTAAGTGCGCGAATTGATCAGGAGTACCACGAGATCCAAAAATGTCCACTTGTGTCTGACCTGTCCTCGCACCAATCAGAACCGCCGCAGAAACAACTCCAATCAACGACTGTACTGTACTGTGGAATACTCTGTACAGTCATCGATGACTATACTCGGGCAATAACCCCTCTCTACTCACCCTGTCGACAATCCAATCAATTGGGCATTTGACTGCCACTGCGCATAACAATTCAACTGCCCGCGCCTGACGAGTGGTTGCGTTGATGACCGCTGCTACCTAGTAATACCGTAGTGCTCCCACACACACACACCTACCTACACCCCTTGCCTCCGCAGTCAAGCCCAACACTTCGATATGCTCACTGCCGACGGCCGACAGTACAAGGACTAGTACTCCCACTCTATCCACAGGGCCATAGCCGACTGGCTTGCTCCCTTCTAGCTCCTCACGTCGAACCGAAGAAATACTCCACCCGCCATTTCCAGCTTCCACCTACATACATACCCCCCCTGTCGTTCAACCTCCCATACTCCCACCTTGATACATACATACGCCATCTCTTTCTGTAACCCTTCACGATTTGCCGCACTGGGTTCCCTTGCAATCAGTTCCGCTTCGCAGTATGATTCCGACATATACGCTATAAAATCTTCCACCCAACGGTTGCTTTGCTTTTCACACTTACTGACGACGCAGAAAAAGCGTCGTTTTCTTCAGACTTCAGATTCCGGACCGGGTCCATGCTGCGCTTTTCACATCGCGCCCACGCGCCCACGCCCTGACTACCGTACGGAGAATGCCAGACGGACGCGAGAACGCCAAAGTGCATTTTGTGGTCCTACCGTAGAAGCAAGCATGATCCTAATGTGATGAGTGACTACCGGGAGGCCATACACAAGAACTTTCCACGACGTATGTGACCTTAATGGCGGCCAGAGCGCGATGCATCGGACCGTGATCACGACCCGAGGTTAGTAGAAAAAGTCCTAGTGTGAGAGTATGCATTCCCGACGTGCATCGCGCCCTTTCTGAGCAGATATCAGCAAGCATCTGCTGATATCAGGGGGTGTAGCGGATCTGCTTTTCTCTGTTGTTGGCCCTAAAGAAATCCTCGAAAGCGTTAGGGTTGGCGCTGGTGGAGTCCGGGGCTAGGTCCCACTTACACGAATTAAGCGATATTGGCCGTAGATCGCAAAGATCAACGGCCAGAATCTCTTAATCCGTGCAAGTGGGACCTTGCCCCCGGTTGGCGCTGGTGGAGTCCGTCCGTGATTCGCAAGCACGCTCAATCGTGGCGTCATCACGGCGGAAGGCGGACACCCCGTTATAGCGCCTCGCTCCACTGCTCTCGACATGGATGCACAAAAAAGAGACAGAAATCATGGCGGCGTATCTTTCCATGTTCTAGCGGAAGATTCACTCCCGTCGAGAGTAATGGAGCGAAAGGCCGGTAGTCTCCAGAGAGAAGCGGTTTCGACAACAACACTACCAGTAGTCGGCGGGTGGGATGAGATGATGCCCCCGGTCCCCGCGACTCGATTTCCGCATGTCTGCTCCGCCTCCGCCTCTGCCGCCGCCGCCCCAAACGCACCGAGCTCCCACCAACGCCGCGTTTTCACGAGGAAGCAGAGCGTCAGATCAGACTGTTTGATCCGAACCGGCGTATCCGACCCCACGGGCGTGCAGTGGGATCAATAGGACATCAAAAGCGACCAGGAAGACCTTCGGGACGTCCGTTAAAATTGGAACGACAAAAAAAAAAAAAAAAAAAAAAAAGAACGACACAGAGAAGATCAGCATGACCACCAACGGGCCTAGCCCACTTGGTATACCCATGAACTTCTAACATAGAGACACAAGTTCGAGTCCACAAGCCATCAGATTGAACAGAACAAAAAAAATTCTGAATTTCCTGGGGCAGGTCAGTTCAATGAGGCCGTTGCCCTTCGAACGAAAAATAACAACAGGCCATCAGAATGCCAGTAGGATCGGGATCTCTTCATGGAACATCACAGGACTAGGGGAGATAAAAAACCTCCATTTCCCGTGTGGGAAAATAGGGGAAACTGGCTGTTTTCCCAATCGCCTGAATTTTTCGGAGGTCGGGCCCGACGACGACTGCCATTGATAAATCTGATCGGCGGCCGTCGTTTCGTTTCGTTTCGGCCTCCGAAAAGGTCGGTGGCCCACCGGAGGCCCGCTATTTTCCCACGCGCCAAAGGTACTAGTGGTTTAAAGAATTGGTTGCATTATAAAGATGTCCACATCCATGTTTTTCGGAACCAAGGCTGACCCTCTCCCCCCTGACCGACATATCTCTTCCAATCAGACATAATCATGAGTCTTAGGTTTGATCGAATCTGGTTTTGTTGTTGCTGCATATGAATATTTTCTCTTCTGAAGACTGTTGTGTTTCTCACCCCCTTGCAAACCAGGGCCACGTAACCCCACCCGTCAGAAAGCTTCCAGTTTTCCGGTGGATCCAATCATCTCACCAGTTGTAGGACCCAACAGTGAAGTTTGTCCGAATTGAATGATGAATCCACCACATCCATACTTCATCAGCTAGAGGGCAGTGAACCCAGAGATGGGAGTTAGACTCCCAGCCCCATTCACACCTCTTGCACGTGATAAATATTTCCATGCCTTTTTAAAGACAGCCACAAGGTTGTGGGGATCACCATTAATGATTGAAGCCACAACAGATCGGCGTCGTTCTGGGAAGGGATATTGCGTAGAATTGACCATTGTTCGAACCAGTCTGGGTGGGGGGAGCCACTTCCCCTCATTTTGTCCAATCGATGCGAAGCCAGAGTGAACAGAGATCGACCCCCCCCCCTTTTTTGCAAGAATTTCACACTTCCCTTGACAGTGGGAGTGCCCATTCTTTACATAAGATATACTCCGCTATTCTGATCCACGGTTTAGATAGATCATCAAAGCAGACTTTAACTATCCACTTTGCCAACAATACCAGGTTTTGCATTTGAGGGTCCAAAATTTCCAACCCCCTCCCAAGCCAATTTGTAAATGAACCCCTGTTTATCGTCTGCGGTGGGCTTCAACAAATACCTGGCTGCAACCTTGCATATTCCTTTGTATGCCTTGTCCCTGAACAACCATACCGACTGAGGAAACCACAAAAGGGAGAATGCAGCGACCGAAAGAATCAGCGCTCTGCCAAATAAAGATAGCTTGTAGTTACAGATCCAACCCCTAATTCTTGAAATAACTCTGTCTGAGAGGAGCTGGTCTTGTTATATATGATACCTGTATCCCTAGGAATCTCTCCAAATTTTCAGTAGGTACCAATCTAAGGCTCCAGTCTACCTTTAGCTCGTAAAAAAAAAAACCAATTTTAACAAATTAATAGAAGTTTTGGATAAATCATGATAGTTGTCAAAGACTCTGTGCAGTTTCATCAGCGAGGCAGAGGAGTTATCATAGTCGTCCATTAGGTCGTTTGCGATTACTCCTTTCCAATGTAGGTCGGCATTCAGTCTCATACCAGAAATCCTATCATTATTCCTAATATTATCTAACAACACTTCTAACTACAATACAAATAGTAGAGGGGCAAGAGGACAACCTTGTCTCAAGGAGCGGATGAGTTGAAACTCCTCTAACAACTGGCCATTAACCATCACCATTGAGACTGCGTTTGCATACATGGCGCGCACCCATTTCATAAAACCAGGTCCAAAACCCATTTTTTACAGGGTGGTGGAAACAAAAGTCCAACCAACCTTGTCATAGTCCTTCCCATGTCGACGAGAAAGACGCTTCCTCGCGCTTCTCCGATCCTACACTTCCATGGATTGGACCGTTGTCGAGTGCATCGATCCGGCACCGCACAAGGCAGCGCGGGACCCTCCCGGCCGCGTCATGCAGGGAGTTGGTTTTAATCCTCGTCGTAAATGCATATGGAGCTTCCGCAAACCGCTCCGGCCGAGTGCGTCAGCCATACCTTTCGCGAGCCCCTACGACAAGATAGGGCCTACACGAGGCACGACTTACCTCCACCTTACGGGAGTTGTCACCTCCCTTCGGTGGGCGTATCCCCGCCGAGCGACTAGTCCACAGTACGAAAGTGAATCCATTGCAATCGCAGAGGTGGACCAGCCGAGGGCATTTTTCTTTTGCTGCAGCATAGGGGGTACGCGCTGTACCCTTTAGAAAAAAAAAGTTTTCAGATTTTTACTAAGCCAGATATGGACCCAGAGCAAAATATGAGTTTAACTAAGACAAATTTTAACTAATTCAGGGAGTTAGACAAATTTTGACTTTCCATAATTAAAGTTTGAATTTTGTTTTTATATTTGCGTTATTATAAATTATCGAAAGGCATTTTCCCTACGGGAAGCGCTGCCGAAATTTTCTTACTTTAGAGGAGTTAGATTATATTTTGACTGGCGGCGATTCTGACAATCCATTGTATATAGAGGCGACTCTGCCAGGGTTTGCCTTTCTTTGGGCACTGGCTTAGAGGCAAACTTAGGCTTAGCTTGTAGAAGGATCTTGGGTGAGAATGTGTTATGGAGCTGTATTCTCCATACACTTATGATTTTAGCTTGGGGATTGGTCTGTCTTGTATTACAAGTCTTCTTGATCGATTGATTCATGATTTGGGCTATAGATTCAGCTTGATCCTACAAGGATCATCTTCTGTTATCATTGATAACAGGTCGGTTGCCGATTCGTCGCTTTACGATTCAACTCTAGTTCACTCCTACCACTCAAACTAAGAACTTTAGCCTTGTGATTTAAACTGTTTTGTTGTATTTTCGCCCGGACTGTATTTTGAATGACCATTTAATAAAAAGTACTTAGTATTGTATTTTGAGAGTTGCACAAAGAATGAGGCTTGTATGACTAAAAGCAAGGGGTGTGAGTGCAGAGAATGGTTGAAGTTGACCCCGTTAGTATATTGACTTTTTGGTTGAATCTTTGATGTGATTACAGGTATGTTTGGTGATTCTGACTTTGGATTTGACTGTCTGCGCTCACATACATATATATATGACAAAGAGGAGTCTCACTGTGATTGTGGGAAGTGATCGTCACATATTTATAACGTTTTATGTATATGTAAATAGATATGTCTTAAATATTTCGCGCGGCCTACTCTGACCGCGCGCAAGGGTTAAACAAGTTATGTTTATGAAAGAAAAGGGAGATTCCTTGTTATTCCTTTGTTTTTTATAATTTTATAGTTGAACGTTGTAGTCTGTGGCAGTCAAAGTCAAACCCCTTGACTTTTTTTCAGACCCTGGGTGATAGAGCTGGTCTCCAGGGCGATAAGAGACGATTGTCACCACAGGTATGAACC